TTCGTTACTTTTTTTTAGTTTTTGTTAAAAAAAAAATACTTAAAATGATTTTTATACACTTTCACTTGTTAATGCGTGTTTATAAATTAGAGTTAAACTTAGTACTATTACGTAATACAGTGACTAAAAGAAAATATTAATGGTATTGTTTTTTTTAACAAAGAATCGGAATGGTTTTTTTAAAAAAGTAACTTAACTAGCATAAATATTTAAAAAAAGCATACAATATTGTAAAAAATATTTTTAATAAAAAATAAAAAATAGGAGTCAAAAGTTTGTGAACTAAGTACTTTTTATTTCAAATTATTTTTATAACAACACAGTGAAGATATAGGTATAAAGCTAGCTAAACACATTTTTCTGAAAAAAAACGTAAAAAAAATTAAAAAGTGCACTGCCTGTCTTAAATGTAAGTAAACAAAACTCCGAGGGGGTGTCCACTTCCCGCAATACATGTACATTTCTACCGCAATCCCCCGAAATCGCTAAAAAGCTGCGAGAAATCCCGCAATCTTTAAAGGCAGTCGCCGAAATCCCTCGCAATCCCATCGAAATCACTTGCAGTCTGCGCAGTCCCTCCGAAATCCGGCAATCTTCGCATGGTAATTACGTAGAGATTTTACATGAGCGGCATATATTCCGGGATTTCTTGCATTTGTGTTCTTAGTTCAGTAAATAAATATTTTATTTTAGTGAAATCTGTGAACTTATGTTATTTTGTGTTCTAAAAAGCTGCGAGAAATCCCGCAATCTTTTAAGGCAGTCGACGAAATCCCTCGCAATGCCATCGAAATCGCTTGCAGTCTGCGCAGTCCCTTCGAAATCCCGCAATCTTCGCATCGCGATTACCTACGTAGAGATTTACGTGAGCGGCATACTCCCGAGATTTCTTGTATTTGTGTTCTTAGTTCAGTAAATATAGTATATTACACTACAAGGGCAGAAAGTGTGAGATTCCTGCACTGCGCGCCATGATGCCCGAGGCGAAGCCGAGGGCATCATGGCGCGCAGTTCAGGGCTTTCACACTTTCTGCCCGTGTAGTGTATACTATTTTTCTTGCTACCCGGCCGAAAATACGGGAAAAAATTAAATGTGTATATCGAAACATATTGATGCCTGCCCCGACATTTGCGGCAGGAGCGATATTATAGAGGGCGGTGGAGGTGGAATCGGGTACGAAACAACGTATTTTCAGCCGAGGTAGTAAGAAAATTACATTTTCTTACTACCTCGGCCGAAAATACGTATAGCTTGACCAATGCATCAAACGTAAACTATCTGCCGTGGAATCTGGGACGAAACAACGTATTTTCAGCCGAGGTAGTAAGAAAAGTTATTTACCTAACAAGTGCGGAAAGTGATACTTTTCCGCACGAGACTGTAGTTGCGAATGCGGAAATGACACTTTCAACACGTGTTAGGTACAATGTTTTTTCTACAAGCGTGCGGAAAGTTGCTGCAAGCGAAAATTTTGAAACAGACGTAAAAGTATTTTTTCTACAAGCGTGCGGAAAGTTGCTACAAGCGTGCGGAAAGTACAAAAGTTCAACTTTCCGCACTAGTGCGAAAAAGTGCAACTTTCCGCACGGTTATGCGTGCGGAAAGTGGCAGCTTCCGCATGCTTGTAGAAAAATTATTTTGACAAGTGGATGAGTAGACTAACATTCGACGTAACATTTGACCTTGTTTACTGGCGATTAAAATTTTATTAAGTCCAAAAAATTTCTGAGAACTTTTTCGCTTTGCGCTGACTTCGACTTGTCTGGTCCACCTACAATGTATTTTCCCTATGTATAGCTTGCAAATGAAGGTACAGTAGATGCCCCTTGTATACAGGGTGTCCCAAAAGTCAACGATATCCTTTGGAGGAATGATAGGACAACTCATGACCAATCAGAAAATCAAAACATGACCTTAGTAAAAAATCGTTTTTAAGATATTGGCATTTTAAGGAATTTTGTGAAGCTTGACACCTTAGAACAATTTTTTTAGTGCCACAGCTACAAAATTTCATATTCTAAGTTTTTTTTTGTGTTGCGCAACACTGAATAGGCCTGCTATTAATTACAGTTGAAAATAAAACTAATCCCAGCAAACACATAAGTCTGGTAATGTAATGGCCCATTACAGCCTTTAATGGTTAAATGATGGCATTTTTAACCCAAGCTGTTCTTGTACTGGGCCCTTTTTCGTTAATAAATGTCAATTTAGACCAAAGGCTGTCGTGGTAAGGTCTTGCAATGGCCCTTTTCAGGCAATGATATGTATAATTTAACATTAAAGGCCCACATATGGTAATTATAAGTATCAAGTTAATGGAACTGTAACACACCATTACAGTGCCAAATGTTTTCCTTTGGTTTACACCATATTTACTAATGAATTGCCTCATGTTAGTGGTATTATGCATATGCATATAGAAATGAGATATATTAATTAATTATCTAATAGGTGTATTTTATAATTAATTATTAATGAACTAAACAACTAGGTAGTACCTTTTTCAAGTATTTTTACTGTACAATTTTTACATTAATGTCGTACTATTTAATAACCTAGGAAATGTGACTTATTTTAAAATTTTAAATCTTCTTTTAGCGCACCATGTTTTGAATATTTAACCCTATTTAATTATCTCTATTCAAAACGAAGCTTTTTTCTAGAAAAACTTGCAAATTAGAATCCCATTATAAGACCATTCCTACAGTGCACTGCAGTCGTCAATGATTTAGCAATAGAATAGAGATTCTTATGCATGTGATTTAGCCATATATCCATTGTGCTAAAGACTGGACTAGAGACTGGATTTATCTTATCTACTTAATTTGTTTTTTGTTCAATTTAATTCATTCGATTCCTTAGAAATGGAAACTGTTGAAATTTGATTTTATTTTATAATATTTGTTAAGTTTTTTTTATTTAAATATGTTATATAATTATGTTTAAATTACATGTATTTTATAACACATTAAACACTTTGTATTTTTTAATTTTTTGAAAGTTTTAGGGACATTAATGGAATTCCATAATAACGAAATTTTTGTAATATAGTAAAGTACCTATCTATTATGGTGGATTAAATTTGGTAGGTATATATTTATTAGGTCGGATATTACACGATAATCGGGAATTTTTTATCCCTACCGTCAAAAATCGGTCGGGATAAAATATTTCAATTATCATGGAATATCCGTACCTAGTAAATATATAGGTACCACATTTAATCTGACATAATAAGTATACTTTACTTATCCATTAAATAATATTTAACTAACCACTATAGAATCTTTAACACCCCATATAAGAACCTTTAGCTTGCCACATTTGTACCTTTAACCTGCCATATCGGAACCTTTACCGGTTCTTGTAAGTGTCTTTATCGACTGCCGTCACATGCCCATAAAAGGTGAACGCGACATAATATGTAGAGGTCCATTAAAGTCAGCCTTTATAGGGCCTTTAGTTTATTAAAGGCACGCGTTTAAAGGGCCATTACAGAACCTTTACGGTTGTGTTTGCCCTTTAAAAACCATACACTTTTGCCCGATTTTATAAAAAAAATCATATATTATAAACACTAAATAAAATAATTGATTATGGCCTAGGCACTTAAAAATTATTTAGACCAATCGGGTTCTGTCAGATCTATCCAACCTAACTTTCTACTTTTAATTCCATTTATTTTTAATGGCAGTCATGGAAATCCCTAGGATTGCCTTCGCAATCACCAGAAATCTCTATGAATGCCTTGGCAATCACCGGCAATCACCCGCAGTCCTTCGCAATCCCTAAATTCTATGGCAGTCATCAGAAATCATAGGATTTCCGCAATACATGTACATTTTTCAGTAGAGTGGACACCCCCTCGCAAAACTCTAAACATTTATAAAAATCCAAACAAAAGTCAATTTAAGCAAAAAAAAATTTGATCTTCATTTTCCTGAAAGCGGGTGTTTCTTGAAAATGACCCTAATAAAACACGTAAGTATACTTTTATAAAAACAAGCTACTCTACAAGACCCATTAACTTTAAAAAATTTAGTATATTTTGTAATATGATTTTTAAATTGACCCCAAGAAAACATTAACTACCTAATTTACTATTGAACTTTTATGTGACCTTGATAAGTCCTAGTAGGTACCTAGTAGAAGTATCAACCTATAGATATCTAATCAAAGTAGGTAATATGTAGAAATTAACAATAGCGAAGCGGACGTAATCATACAGGGTGTGGTCTTTTACAAAGACGTAGAAAAAAACGTATGAGACACCACATAAAACCAGGTCGAAATAGGTCGAATCAGTGAAAATAAGATTGCAGTTAAAATGTTGCGGATTTTTTTTAGGAATTTAATAATTAAAATAAATGCGTTTTTCTTAATTAAGGTATTTTTAAATGAGATTCAATGTTATTCCAGGCTTTCTAATCTTCTTTTAAATCGTATCATATGCCTGGCTATTTTTAACTTGATTTGGTTAAAAAATGATTTTAAGAATCATCAAATTCTATTTTTTTTATTGATTACAATTAAATCTCTTTTTCCAGTATCTTTTTTCTTAGATCATAAACTGGGAGTCACATGGAATATATTTTTTTTATAAACTAAAATATAAAGAGCACTTGTACCAAGTAGGTACCTACCTAAAGTTAAACAAAGGATTTTTATAAAAATCCTGGACCCAGTTTGCTTTGTTTAAATTTAATTGAGAAGTTAATTTTTATAAATTTTATACAAATTTTAATATTATAGATAATAAAAGTGAATGGTATTCTGAATAATACATATTACATACAATTGGGTCACTTGAAGGAAATTGAAAGTTATTTTGATATTTGCCTACCTATGTTAGTACAAATGCGGCTGTACTGTAACAGTACATTTTTAAAAATTTGCAATACAACTTACATTTTTTGATCCAATTTATTGGAAATGTTCAGCCTAGTGATAGCTCTCTCATAAATTTATAATTTCATAATTATAGGTATAGGTATACCTAGTAACTTTGTTAACACAATTATTATAACACAACTAATTAGTTAAGTAACTAAAATCAAGTAAATATTGTCAGATTTTTGTTTTTGAGATCTAATGTCACTAAAAATGACAGACAAGATTCAAATTATAGTGTGCCATATGAAAATACCCTGCTCTGATTGGTGTATTGTTTTCTATGGTTTAAGTTGGCGGGTTTTTTCGCTAAATTATTCAAATTAACTGTTATTAGGCAACTAAGCATACATTTACCAACTGAATCATCTTCCAATCAGTAAGGAAAATATTTACAGTGCTTATCAGCATTTAGCGACTGATAGGTAATTAAGAAACGACTTTCCATTGTGTACATTGCGTGTACTATTCTGTGTGAATCAATTACTGCAAATATCATTTTTTGTTGCGACAGCTGTTTTTAGGTTAGCTATAAACAAAAACTTTTTTGTTGTTCTACACAGATTCTGTGTCACAGAAATGGAGGGTGGAAACACTTTTGTGGACTTGTTGAAGACCATCTACGAGATCAAATCCCCCGATCACGAGCATTCACAAAAAAAGGCTGTGTTTGCCAATTTGCTCTTTGATATTGGAACAGCACTGGAACGGGGAGACTACAGGGAAGGCCTGAAGGCTTTAAGGCAGTGTATTGTTTTTTTCAGAAGTGAGCCTAACATAATAATATATAAAATAACCGAGCATCTGTTTCAAGCAGTTGAAAAGTTGTGTTGTTATTGTTATTACAAGCTCAACGAGAATTTTTCTGAGTTGAGTTCCTTGATTCACGATGAAACCAAGTTGACTATGTTTATGCTCACTATTAATTATATGGAGGAAAGGGGGCTGACCATGGATTTTATTGCAAATAGTTTGATGACTATACGGGAATATCTTTACGAAAATAATTTTACTTGGTAAGTATCGCCAACAATTAGTGTTTTTAGTATTTTTAGGTTTACTTATATTTTTGTTTAGTGACGAGTTTGAGATTAAAGAGTGTAAGAAAAAGAAGGGTAAAAAAGGTAAAACTGGTAAAAAAGATAAAAAAGATAGAAGAGAAAAAATTCAAAAAATTGACTTTGCCAAATTGGTCGAATTTACTAATACTCTTAACACAATGTTTTCTGATGATTCAATACCTGAGAAAGCTGAAGTACCTGTACCTGAAACAGTTGAAGAAAGAAAAAAAACTGAAACACCCAAAAAAACGGCAAAAAAGTCACCAGAGACACCAACAAACTCATCTAAAGAAATAAAATCAGCAACTGTAAGTAAAATATTTTGAATTTTGTCAAGTTTTATATATTCATTAAAATATTTTGCACAAAAATAAAAAAATTAATCCTGAGTATTTACATTTTTATCTTAAAGGTACTAGGTACAGTGGCCGACACGGAATTTTGAACGACATAACTTGGTTGTCAATGTATACATCTGTAAATAGCAAAGATACAATATTGAGCATTTTTGCGTTCGCTGTCAAAATTACAATACTATAGTGATAACCGAAAGTAAGGTTAGTTGTCCATAAAGAAAGTTTAGATTTTGATGCCAACGGGATGATAGTCGTTCAAAATTCCGTGTCGGCCACGGTACTAATTTTTTTATCTTCCTACCCAATTATAGTTATGTGGTTTATAAGTTTATTAAATCCACATTATGTGGATTTAATAAACTTATAGGACCACATATAAACCAAACTTATTAAGATAACTAAAATAACATTAAAAAAATAATTTTTAATGCAAAATTTTTACAAAATTAATTTTTTTTCTTTGTAAATTTATTGAATTTACCAGGAATTACTTTTTTAAAATTTGACCCAAAACATTATTTTAGATAGTTTAGTAAGTTATTTTTTTGTCTTTTCACTTTCTTATTTTATATTAATATTTTTTCTTTTGAATTTATTGATTTGTTTTTCCACTTATTAATATACTAATTTTCATCTAGAATATCAGCACTTCTTGTTTTATTTGACTTTTTTTTTAATTTTTGTTCTCACTACTTTCTTTTTTTTGTTTATTTCAAATCTCTTTTACTTTTTTTACTTGTTTTTTAATTTTTTTATTTACTGCAAATTTTTAAAATCTTTTATGACTATACTTTTTCTTTTTATGACCTTTTTTAACTTTTTTTGTCATAAGCCTGAATTATAGATTGCCTTCCTTCCTTCCTCCCGTAGAAAATGAACAATACGAAACCCAATAAACATTTTTGACGTAATTGTCAATATTAACATTTTCTGTGTAAGAATTTTTAATACTTTGTGATAATATTTTGCAATTATAGTAATAAAAAAAATCAAAGGATAAAATATTTTCTTAACAAAATCATATTTTGAAGTTATTTTAATATTTTAAAGTGTCAATAATTGTTAAGTTTAATTAAAATTAATAACGGGCAATGTTAATGGTGACAATTACGTCAAAAATGTTTATTTAAATCGTAGTGCCATTTATAGATTCCCGTACCGTAAGGACGGCATTCCTTCCTCCCGTAGAAATTTTTAAGTTTTATCTTTCACCGTAAAGGTCTTTGACATGACCAATCACAGTGCTTGTTATGGACATGCGCTGTAGGGTCAGCGCGTAGGCACAAAATATTTAAAATACATGATTGTTTAGTATTATTTAGATAGGTGGTCAGTTTATTAAATAATTTGTGTCTCTAAATAGGATATTTAGATATTGTTTATGATCAACTAACTAATAATGGTTTATTGAACTAAAACCAAGTTCAAAGGCTATTGACCGTAGTCCTTCAGCCGATTTATGATCAATTTCTTTCATTTTTAGAAACGTTGCTTTGTAAAACCCCGTAGTTTCCCGGTCTTGGTAAAGTGCGCGAGTCTTCCAACGTCTTGTAACAAGACTCTTGTTCGATGTTTTTTTTTCATTATTATAATACTAGTATAATACAACAAGCTGCCTGGGTTATATATAAATGTTTATCTTTCATATTTACACAAAATGGGTAAATCGCAGAATATAAAAAAAAACAAATGCCAACCATTTTAGGTGTCATCGCGCATGGTTACGGAATTTTAAACGGAAATCTATAAATTGACTTTTTACAAGACGCACAAATCGTACGGGCACGACTACGGGAGGAAGGAAGGAAGGCAATCATGCTTTACTGTCCAACTTTTTAATTTTTTGTTTTTTTTTTACATTTTTAACTGTATTTACCTACTTTTATTCTTTTTTATCATTTTTGAGGATTTTTTTCTTCTTTTATTAGACTGTATTTTTTACTTATTTTATTATTATCTTTTTGGATTTAAAACTTTTTTGATCTGATTTTTTTCTTTTTTTTGTCGTTTTACTCTTTGTTTTACTTTTAATATTTTCTTCTATTTTGACTTTTTTTTACCTTTTTTAATTTTTTTTTCTTTTTTTTTATATACAAATTTCTTGTATTTTGGATTGTTCGCTCTTACTTATTCACTTTATTCTTCGACTTTATTTATTTTATTTTTTCTCAATTTTTGTGACTTTTTTGTCGTTTAGAAGAATATTTATTCTTTCATTTAACTTTTTAATTTTTTACTTTTTTATGTTTTTTTCGATTTAAAACTTTCTTTTTTTTATCTGACTTCTTTTGATCTTTCTTTTTTTTCACTTTTTGTTTTTTATTTTCTATTAGGAGCATTTCCACGCGTAACGTACGGACATTCGGACGCGTTTTATCATATAAATGTTTAAATTACTATTACTTATTTAAGTTTAACACAAAAACGCTTGACGCCATCTGAAAGAGCAGTAAATTTCCCATGAAATAGGCTTATGTGAGCAGTAAAAATACTTTTTCAAAAGAAAATGCAAGTACCAGTATAAAAAGCGTAACGTACGGACACCGAAGACACCCATTTTGTATCCCCTCTGTTAACGTTTGGGACTCTGCGAATTCAAATCAAATTTTCTTGCTTTATACGTGGTTTTGGATTGCCCAAAGAACTGAGATCACGATACTATTTGCGACTAAGGATTTGATTTTTTCGTTTCTTCATTATTTGCGGAAATTATCCAAAATAAAAACGTTACGTACGGACAAGGTCTCGTAACGTACGGACATACACATTTAATACACATTATAATCACGGTATTTAAAAACACAAAATCATATTAGTACCCGTTAGTTAGATTCAATTGTTGGGGAACATATGAAAAAGAAGAGAACACGTTTAAATAAATGTATTTTTTTACATTTTTTATTAATTACATGTTTTGAACGTTTAAACTAGTATTGCTGAATAATACTCATAATTAACGATACAAATTGTTACAACTTATCAATATGAATGTAAAAACGAAGCGATTTCTAAAATAAACTAAAATTACTGAAAACGAAAAAAAAAGTACACAAAATATGCATACACGCGAACTTCATTACTTCATGCGGACTGCGATGCGCCTGTCTTTATGCACATTAGATTCTTCGGCAACGCTGATCCAGTAAGGAGCGAGGGAAAACACAGCATGAATTCTGTGCGTTCTTGGGACTGTCGCAAGATCTTTCCAGTGTTCTTCGAGATCTGCGGAATTAACATCAATGTCTGCTTTGCTCAGAAACTCAACGTGAATCTTAGGGCATGCTTCTTGAGCTATAGATGTGAATTCTTCAGCAGTATTTACCACAGCTCCGCTTTTTGCTCGCCTCCACACCGAACCTTTTATTGTTCCTCCAATGGCATCAACCACCCCTTTTCCGTGACCTGATGCGAAAAAGTGCCAAGATAGCTTAATGCCGTAGCGCGCTTCAAAAACATGCAGGTTCGAAAAAAGGTACTTTTGCTTGAATTGGCTAGCGGCTCCGTCTGAAAATATTTTTACTTCAGCCACTTCATCGTAATTTTCGGTAATTAGTTCAAGTAGCCGTTCGATGAATTTATAAACGCTGATTTTTCCATGCGTCAATTCGTCCGAAACTAACGCGAAACTCTGCGCTTCCTTAGCGGACATCCAAGCATAGGCAGTAAAAACTGTGCATTGCTGGTGACACCAATGCGCACTTTGTATTTCATTTTGTTGTTTTAAAGCGTAATTCTCAGCAAAGTCAACTTGCAGTGCAATTTGTTTTCCATCGACGCTGGCAATGGTGTCTTCAAAAAATTTTGCTTGCGCTCGCTTTACATACGAGTGTTCCAGAAAATAACGTAGCTGATCCTTTAGATGTTGAAAACATTGTTGCAAATCCCAATCCATTATTTTTTTCTGAAGTGGTTGGCTTATCCATTGCTCGCAACTTGGTGAAATCACAGAAGCGTTAATAACGAAATTTCGGGGATTGAGTTCATCGATCTTGTCACGACACTGGTCGCATTTGTTGGTCATACAATCTTTTTTACTCTGATCGCAGGTGACAAGTGCGATAAATTCCTTGAAGGATCGTGGAACTTGAGTGTAAGGATGCATGGCATTCAAGATAAGGCGCACATTTTCGTGATATCGACAAACGCATACACCTTGAGGCAAGTCTCCAAAGATGCAGATTTCTTTGGGCTTCAACTCACAAAATAATGAGCGGCCAACGGGTTGATCTTTGTGCTCCTTCAGGTACATTTGGTGTGCCTCAACAAGAGACATTAACATATATCGTTTGGGGATGTACTGCTTTTGTATCCTTCCATTCTCATCGTGATGTCTCAAAATGAGTCTATACTTCATATTTGGAGATTGCCACGAAATTTGATTAGAAAGATAAAATTGTTGCACATTTGCTTTTGTTTGTTCATTCGATCCTTTGCGAATTTTTTCTGAAAATGCTAGTGGAGATGTGACTAATCGGAGACCTTGTTCTTCAGCGAGGGCAGCGACAACAGCTTTTCTTTTTCTTGGGCTACTCGGTAAGGATCTTCTTGCCCTGTATAAAGCTTTTCCAAATGATTGACGGGACCGATATGAAGAAAGAGTAAGGCTTGAACAGCTTGAATTCATTGATGAATCAGATTGCGATAAAGCCTTTCTTGAAACTCTTTTTCTCTCAGCTTCTTTTTCGCGATGGTCTTTTAGTTTCCCTAAATCTGTAGCAAGTTTTTTTCTGAAGAGCCGAGACCGTTGAGCTTCTTTTTTCTTCTGCATTACATCAACCCCTTTTTTTTTCAGATTTTCCCGGTATCTTGCTTGGCGCTCTGCGGACGTCAAAGCAGAGGTTTTGGTTTTCGGTGCCATGTGATGGTGATTTTTATATGACAATTTTTGTCAAGTTTCAAAAATTTTGCTCAAATACAACTTGCAATTATTTACCAGTATTTCGTAACGAAGACTTAAAGTTGTATTTTCTTGGTCGCAGAACACTTTTTGAATTAACGATGAATGTTCGTTGGTATTCATAAAACAGCAATATCAATACGCGAATATTCACGTCCGTTTTGACAGCGATTGACTTTTTATGGTTATGCTGTATGTTGGAATATATGTGCGCATGTGCAAATAAACTGAGAACATGTGCAACATTAATTTTCGAAAAAAATGTCTTACAAATTATTTTATGTTCAAGAATGGTTTTATATTTAATGTTTACATATATATATATATAAGAAATGTTATTAATAATTCTACATATTTATATTTATTACTTTGACAGTTGAGATAAGCAATGAATGTAAAACCTTAAATCCGTACATCACTAAGTTAGAACTCGGAAATAGTCGTTTTTTGCACCTCGGTTACATGAGAAAAATACAATGGTGTCCGTCCGTTACGCAAAAAAAATTAACTTACACTTGTTTTAAAAATATGAAAAAATTCCACGTTATAAAGTGCTAACTTTTGGCTTTGTATATGAAAATTGGAAGGTATTTGATAATTCTGTCACACAGTAGACGAACTTTTGTATGTTTTTCGTAACGTACGGACACGAAAAATTCAAAAAATTGAAAATGCTTTGCATTGATCAAATTTTCTTTAAGAAAAATTTTCTCAGCGTCGAAATACACTTAAAGATACCATGAATGAATTGCAATATTAAATCAGAGCTAACTATTTTGCCTCCAGGATTTCTGTTACTTGAAAACTCAAGAGAGATATATGCTCAATGAAAGGTCAGTGCGTCTGCCATGTCAATAAGCTGTTCATTCATGAATTATCAGTTATATATTAACATGTATTGTTGGAACACCACATTTAAACCTCCATTAATGTTATTCTAAACGAAATATGACATAATTCATTGATTGACATTTCGCTTTCTGTGTCCGCGTTTTCGTGGAAAAGCTTAATTAATTTAGTTTTCTTACAAAATATTTAACAAACTGTAAGAATATAGACCCCCTTTTTCAAATTTGACCCAAAACAGGGTATTTTAAATAGTTTAGTAGGAAGAACCCTAAATTTAGCTTTTATACAAAATATTTAACAAACTGTAAGAATATAGAACCTTTAAAATCAAAACTTTTTTATTTCGGCGTCATCTTTTTTCAAATTTGACCCTATATATATTATCAATACATTTTATTTTAGGTGGTCATACAAAATGAACCCCAAGTTGAAACAGTTCAAAATAATTCAACTCAGACTGAAAAACCAAAATGCACAAATATTTCTGTAAGTAAATTCCGTATTTTCTCAAATAGTATTTTTTATTATTATAAATTATTTATTTATTTATTTTTTATTGTAGTAGTTTTGTTCCAATATTTATCATTTAATCAATCAATAGTTTTAAATTGTCTTTTTGTTTTTTGCTTAGGTCCAGACTGATAAACCAAAACACAAAAATGCTTCTGTAAGTATCTATTTTATTAGAAATATTTAAAACATGTATTCTTTTAATATTCAATAATTTAATAACCTTTTTATTATAACATCAACTACTAATAAGTTTTTTTAAATTATTCACTCACCCAGATTTTCTTATTAGAAAAAATTAAATGGTGAGTTTATTGTATTATATTTTGTTTTAAAATAATAATAATTAATTTTTTACACAACACTTGATAAATTTATCAAAAATGATTATCATATTAATAATATTATGATAATCAATTTTCGGTGAATAGATTCAAGCAGATTTGACTGAGATTGCGGAATCGCAAATTTTGACCATTGTGACCGACATCAAAAAAAGCATCAATAAAACGAACAAAAAGGACGAAGAAATCGACGAGCTCAAAAAGCAACTTGCCGAAGAGAAAGAAAATTTTAAAAATTACCGAAAGCAAGTCGCTGAGGAAAACGACAAAAAACTCAAATCACTCGAGGTTCAGTGCGCGGGCTTAAGGTAGGAAAAGTATTCGTTACTTTTTTTGATGCCAATACAAAGTCGTTTTTTGTAGGATTACTGTGACCCAACTTGAAGCTGAACGTAAGGCAAATCAGGAAAAATTAATTTCCGTCAATAGGATTCTTTTAAGTCAGTTGGAGTTTAGGCGCAATTTGCAAAACGTTGTGTTTAATTTGTAGGTTAAATTTCAAGGTATTGATTGAGTTTTTATAAAATTCCAATACTTTCAGCTACGAAAACAAGTGCAGACAAACGCTGCACTTTTTAAAAGGAATGAGGCAATTCGTCATCAAAGACTTGGTGTCGAGCAACGAAGAATTCCACAACTTCGTCAAGATGTGGAAGACCGTTTTAAAAAATATAGAAACCCAAAAACACCAGTACATGGTAAGAAACGCATTATTCGAAAACGGTCTTAATGGGGTAGTTACATTTTTTCTGACCTATACTTTTTATGGTTTTATTCAAGGCGTTTTGTAATTTTAAACATTTCTGTGAAATTGGAATTTCAATTGAGTTTACCGTTTTCGAGATATTTACAAAAAAAAATCTCCTAATTGCGCCACTAGGCTATTGACAACGTTGCCAGCTTTTTCTATGGTTGCCAGTGTGTTTAGTTTAAGATTCTTACGATAGATGGCGCCACGTTATAATATTTTAGTTTTAAAACCACTTGATCTATAATTTTAGTTGAGAAGAAGAAGAAGAATTGATTTTTTGACGTTTTTTTTTTCGGGTTATGTTTTTTTTTTAATTTAGATTATTGAAAATCAATGTTATTGTTATGTTATTTGTAATTGATATTAGATAAGTGATTTATTAATAACGGACTCCAAAGCAGAGGAATCTTGTGGAATGGTTGGTTACATTGAACATTGGAGCTTTTAAACAAATAAAGTAAGTACCTATAATTATAATTATATTTATAATGCCTAGTTCTTTATATTCTTTTAGATATATCTTGGACTCTAAAATATCAAACACTAATATGATACCTCGTAAGAGATAGATAGGTACTTAATGAATTTGGTGACCATATTTCACTCAACTGACAGTGACAGTATTTGTACATAATAACCTCTTCGGGTATTTTCTGACATAACCGAATGAAATCATTAACAAGACAACTTGTCAACAGGGTAATTTTCAACCAATAGAAATCTTAGAATGTTGGTCACATGGCGAGGTTTGTGACGTCATAAAAATTTATATTTTTTGTAAATATCTCGAAAACGGTAAACTCAATTGAAATTCTGATTTCACAGAAATGTTTAAAATTACAAAACGCCTTGAATAAAACCATAAAAAGTATAGGTCAGAAAAAATTTAACTACCCCATATACACCTTTTGGACATTTTAAGGCCGATTTCGACGAAATGGAGAAATCCATGCGCAGCGGTAAAAACCATCGGACCCTCGATTGGCCGAACATACACGACCCCTCCAACGTGGAACTGTTCGCGGAGTTCGTGAACTCGACGATTCGAAGGCACGAGGAGTTCGTGCAACAGTCGAAGTAACGTTTTAAAAATTCCGGAACGCGACGAGCTCTTCGTTTTTATTTTTTTCAGGAGCGGTAAAAACCTCAAGCGCCAGCCGCCGGATGCCAAAAAAGAAGCGCTTTCTGCGCGTGATTCTCCAGAAGGGTCTGAAGGTGGAGTTTTTTTTAAATGAACATTTTCTTTAACGCGATTTGCCAAAACATGTTTTAGCATTTAAATTTTATTACAGAATCGAAAAAGTCGACGGGAAGTCAGTTCAAGCCTAAGGCAGCACATGGTAATGCTTCTGGTTGGCAATCACATAAGGTATCTATCTATAAAATAGTCAAAATCTTTCCACAACTGATTTTGTTCACGTTAAAAACGCCCTCTATGGCAAATTTACATAAAAATTCATGTTATAAAATTAATATTTTTGAAAAAAGCAACCGTTAACCATTTTTTCACTAAAACTTTACAGTAGATAAGGCATTTCTATACATTGTAAAAATTATTTAAACTTAATTTTAAGCTGGAAACTAAGAAAGAAAAAGAAGCTGTTAGTTTAAATTCTCCACATGTTACTGGAGAAAAGGTATGCAATTTTATATTTTTCTTTATTGTTTTGTATGCACTATTTTTTAATATTTTCCTTTTTTTAAATTTTTTCTCAATATTTTTTTTATTTCAACTCTTACTTTGACTTGTTTTTTAATTTTTTTTAATCTAGGTGTATTTTTTATTTTTTGACCTTAGTTACTTTTTGGTCGTTTTTTTAATTTCTTACTGTCCTACTTTTTCCTTCTTTTTATTTATATTTTTGAGGATTTTTTCCTTCTTTGATTAGACTGAATTTTATACTTTTTTATTATTTTTATTTTTTTGGATTTTAAACTTTTTTATCCTTATTTTATTTTATTTATTGTTTTTTTGTCTTTACTTTTTGTTATAGTTTACTTTTAATAATTTTCGGTTTTTGACTTTTTTGATCTTTTCCACTTTTTTAATTTATTTTTTCACCTTTTCTTTTTATACCTATATTTCTTGTATTTTTCGCCTGTTTTGGATTTTTCACTCTTATTTATTTTATTTTAATTTTTCAAAATTTTTTTGAATGAGTATGAGTATGAGTATAAGAGAAGTATAACCAGCCCCATTTCATCATCACTCCCGGACCCCGTACAGGCCTAGGTTTACTTACGCCGATTTTTGTTTGTCCCCAGCAACTGCACGGCTTCACCCGTGTTTGCTGGGTGCGAATGTCCATTGCGTTCCGTACTGTCCCCCATTTGGGGCTCGAGAGCGACATGCGAATGGTTTTAATGGCCATTCTCGGGTTCGCCGAGCCGATACTATACGCTCAGTAGGGTATAGAGGAGGAGGGACGGGAGTGTGTTGGTTTTTGGGGGACAATTACGCCGACTTAAAACTAAGTACGACGCGGAATCACCCTAGACCATTCGATTAGTATTACTCCAAACATTTGGGATTACTATTTGGAGTTGGGGAGTTGTTATTTCGCTGCAGGGGTGAAGTTTCCTAGTCGAGGTCTTCGTCTTGTTCGTTATTGTCGTGTTCCAGTCTTGATGCCGAAAACCATCAATAGATAGTTCAGTAGCTGGATGTAACTTGTAGCTTTTGGTGTTTTTTTTAATTGTTTATTGCCGCAGAAGTGCGAAATTTCTAACAATTTTTTTTATTATTAGTTATTGTGTTGCCCAAGCACGTTTTGTGGTAGAGTTTTATCTTTTTTTCTTAAATTCCAAAATTAAGTAATGCATTTATTTATTAGTTAAACAAATGACAAGCGCAATTATTCTGTTTTCTAATGTTTACAAATCCTGTAGAGTTTGGTTATTATGCTTTTTTACTATGTTAGGGTTATAATGATTAATGTGTTAGTTTATTCTGTGTGTCTAGTGTTTATTATTGGTCTCGTTTGGGTTTGCCTTATTTGTTGTTGACAGATTTATTGTTCTAGGCAGTGTGCCTTTCATAGGGTTTTAAAGATATCGCCGTGTTTAATTTGCAGATTATGTGTTAGGTCATGAATATGCTTAAGGATACTTATCAATTTTTTGCGGATGGCCACCTCCCTTCTTGATTGACCTCCTTTGTTTGTCCAGTGAAAAGCGTCCAATGACAGGTGGCACTTAACTCATTCATCACTTAACACTTCACTCTTCATTGACCGTTGCACCATTTTAGTTAAGTTTAGTTTAGTTTGCACTCTATGAAAATTGTTTGTTTCACTATAATTGGTTTGCACATATTAAAAATTATTGTTGGTTTTAATCTTTAAACTTTTACGTTTCAAGAGCACTCGCCATAGCGTGGTGCCTTCTTAAGTGCTGGAACCTGACTGAAAATAAATAAATTTTTTTGAATTTTATTCAAGAAAAAAAGATTTTCTTGTCGTTTTAAAGGATTTTTAACTTCTTTTATTTAACTTTTTAATTTTGTACGTTTTTTTGGATTTGAAACTTTCTTTTTTGACTTCTTTTTTATCTTTATCCTTTTTATGTTTTTCCACTTATGAATATAATAATTTTCATCTAGAATATCGGCATTTATTTGACTTTTTTCTTTTGTTATTTTTCTCTCTCTCTTTTTTTTGTTTATTTCAACTCTCTTTTACTTTTTTTTACTTATTGTTTTTATTTACTTTTAATATTTTTCGGTTTTTTACTTTTTTGATGTTTTTTTTACCTTTTCCACTTTTTTTTTACTATTTTAATTTTTACTTTTTCTTTTTTATACATATTTCGTGTATTTTGGATTTTTCACTCTTACTTTTTTATCTTTTTCACTTTATTCTTCTACTTTTTTATTTTATTTCTATTTTTATTTTTTGTGACTTGTATTTTTTTTGTCGTTTTGAAGAATGTTTTACTTCTTTTATTTGACTTTTTCATTTTTACTTTTTTTTCGATTTAAAACTTTCTTTTATCTTCATACTTTTTTTGTCTTTTCACTTTTTTACTAAATTCTTCGACTTATTTTCATTTTTTTGCTCTTATTTTCTTAATTTTTGTTGACTGTATTTTTTGTTCTTTTTCAATGTTTACTTTTTAAATTTTTTGCTTTTTTACTTACACGTTTTTTTAAATTTTAGTACCTTTTTTTATTAGCTTTATTTTCTTTTAAGTAATTTTTTTTTTACTTTTTTCTCTTCATTTCACTTTTTTATTTATATTTTTTAAGTTTCATGATCAGCTGATTATTTTGCAAGACTTTGTTCAACAATGTCTGCGTCTGTTATTTTCCTTTAAGCTCACGTTCTTTATTTAAAGTCTCTCTACGTTTATCTTATGGAAAACACCGGTCTCAGCGAAGAGGTCCTTTGTTCAGTCCTAACCACAATGACAATGAAAAACAAGGACTCCGTTTGCGGTCGACCGAAAGAGCAAATTTTAAAGGAAGTCAGAAAACTGATTTCGACCAACAAGTAAGTACACCTCGACTTGAGTGTCTCATAAGTACCGGGAATTTGTAATTTAAAACGCGGATAAGATGTTACAATTTTGTGGTAGTTTTTTCTTATTTTTTGTATACGTTTTATTGCTAGGTCTAAAAATCCATGGGCTAATACGCATAAAAATGTTCAGTGGCAGTACGAGGACGCCGAAAAAAGTTGCCCCATTTGTTTTGAGGAGTATAATGACCATAATGTTTATATGTTGCCTTGCAAACATGAATTTCACAAGAAGGTAGGTTTTTTACTACAAAAAAAATATAAAAAATTAATTAAAATCGAGCATATTTTGACATTGTTTTTAAATAATGTTAAAATTTATTTATGTTTTTTCTAGTGCATTCAAACTTGGCTTAAAACAGGAAGTTGTTGTCCAATTTGCAGGGTACATACCCCATTTGAGGGAGATTTTCCTGCCCTTAAGAGAACTTTTTAAAATGTTGATATTTAATTTTATATTTGTAAGAAAAAATTAACTAAGTAGGTACCTACCTACTTAGAAATGAGCATGTTAAACAATCACTGTTAGTTTTACACAGAGATTATATTTTGTTTATTCTAAAGATAAAAGATTATTGATTATTGGTTATTAAAAAATGTGCCATAAACAATTTGATGTTAGTTACTTAATAATAAAAAGTATTATGTTTAGTTATTATGTATGTAATAAAAATATAACCATTATTTTGCTTGAAACTTGTTTTTTTAAATTTAATAAATAACTATAATAATTGATCCAGATCTACAAGTTAGGTATGCTTCAGAACAAGTAAGTACATCTCGACTTGAGTGTCTCATAAGTAGCGGGAATTTGTAATTTAAAACGCGGATAAGAGAAATATGTTACAATTTTGTGGTAGTTTTTTCTTATTTTGTGTATACGTTTTTATTGCTAGGTCTAAAAATCCATGGGCTAATACGCATAAAAATGTTCAGTGGCAGTACCTACGAGGACGCCGAAAAAAGTTGCCCAATTTGTTTTGAGGAGTATAATGACCATAATGTTTATATTTTGCCTTGCAAACATGAATTTCACAAGAAGGTAGGTTTTTTACTACAAAAAAATATAAAAAACTAAAATCGAGCATATTTTGACATTGTCCTTAAATAATGTTAAATTTTATTTATGTTTTTTCTAATGCATTCAAACTTGGCTTAAAACAGGAAGTTGTTGTCCAATTTGCAGGGTACATACCCCATTTGAGGGAGATTTTCCTGCCCTTAAGAGAACTTTTTAAAATGTTGATATTTAATTTTATATTTGTAAGAAAAAATTAACTAAGTAGGTACCTACCCAAGATACATACCTACTTAGAAATGAGCATGTTAAACAATCACTGTTAGTTTTACACAGAGATTATATTTTGTTTATACTAAAAATAAAAGATTATTGATTATTGATGATTAAAAATGTGCCATAAACAATTTGATGTTAGTTACTTAATAATAAAAAGTATTATGTTTAGTTATTATGTATGTAATAAAATTAAAAACATTATTTTGCTTGAAACTTGTTTTTATTTTAATTTAATAAATAACTATTATAATTGATCCAGATCTACAAGTGAGGTATGCTTCAGAATTAAGGTAAGCAAGTTTTAAATAAGGAGTTTTCTATACTTTTTTAACCATGATGTCCTGTGATAGTTTCGGCCACCGCAGCCAGATGGAGCTAGGTGTATGAACCAGGCATATACTTACCTGTGGTAAGTATATGGAACCAGGTAGGTATGTGAATCATTAACATTTCATTTACAATGAATTATATATTTGTTTTCCATTTTTTTCTTTCACCACTAAATTCACCAATAAGGACCGCGCTGGCCACCTGCAAATGTCCCGATCACGCATTTCAATTGTGTTTGTTTTGTCTGCCAAATAAAGAGACCAAGCGCAGTTCCGGTGTCTTAAAATTTATATTGTGTGTAAACAGGTTTAATAAAAAATATATATTGCATAATAATTTAATTTATAATAATTATATTTACTAATAATAAACTATTACAAAAATACTAATAGCTAGCTAAAAATAACTTACGAGTACACAATGTGTAATATACACGCATTGATTTGTTAATTAGAATATTTTTAAATTCCACATTAACGTGCAAACAGAGAAAATTGCTTTAAGGAACTAAAAACAAATAAGTAAATAGAAATATTAAACGATTTTATAAACCCCTACCTGAAACAATAAAATGTGGGTAAGTTCCAATTTTTTGGTGGCAAAATAAAAAGTTGATGGTTGTTTTGTATGAATTAACAAAAATTGCACCATTTTCATATTCTCGTTATTCCATGAATACCAATGAGTATCGTAAATAATGTAAAAGAATTCATTAGTCTAAAATTGGGTAGTTTGTAGATACTCATAAAATAATAAGTAATGATAATAATGGTGATTCTACAAAAGTTCGACAACTTGATGTCATCAGTCAATAGAGTAGGTATTTTAATATTTTTTGTAAATATTTTTGTATATTACAAAAGATCAAGGTTTTTTTTAACTTGTCCAACCAATTTTAATGTATTTTTTCAAAAGCAAGTTTGTAGAAAAACATAATAAATATTCAAAACGTGTCACAACTCCTGAATAAAATATTTGAGTGATTTTATTTTAAAATATATTCAATTTATTTTAAATTTTTCAATTTCACTACAAACTATAAAACATTAAATAATGTATTTTATATATTTTATTATAGATTCGAATAATAGCAATTTTTAAAAAATTGATAATCTTTAAAGTAGAATTGTACTCACTTATACCTGTCAGTTCTGTATCCAATGTTAAAATTCAAAATTCCTGCGAAATATTGAAGTTTAAACGTCAAGTCCTCGTTTTAACTCAAGTGTTGGTAAAAAATTGCCTATAGAGCCCGCCCTTTGCACGATAGTCATCTTGAAAACAATGCAAGCGGCGAAGTTGTGGTGAATCCACGTATAGTTCCAAAAATTTCAGTACTGTGGTAAGTAGTTATTTTTTACGTATATATATTTCATTGTAATTGTTGATAAGTAGCATACACTAATAAAAAATATCAGTAAAATACTCAATTCCGAATTATAATCTCAAATTTGTATCCGTTTCGTCAATTCCATGTCGTCAGCTCCATGTTCGATGTTTCGGTTATCTTTTTTTCGCAAACTTCAATTTAAATTCTGCTTGCGCAGAACTTGTTTATTTAATGTCATTATAAACTCATATAAATTTGGTGTGGGTCCCATATCTAATAATTGAGATATCGGTATACCCAAAATCCACCAGCCGCCACTGATGTGTGGTATTATTTGATTTTAAGATATTTAATGTGAAATATGCTCAAAGTTGCAATAAATCTTATATTTTCCAATAAATTATGTATTTAATTAGTACCCTGGTATACTCGTCACTTCCCTTGCATTCAAATTTAGAAAACACAGATATTTCATAAACTGTTTGAAAAAGTGACTGGCCCGGTCTGGAATAGTATATTTATTATATTATCTATGTTCTCATAACAAAATACTGTTTAATTTTCTCCGAAAACTATATAAACAAAATGAGGTCAAAAGTTGACCAACTTTTGTAGAATCACCCATTTACACGTATATACCTCATTTTGGTATAATTGCCCAGAATGAAAAAATACCATTATTATTTGAAAAAATATTATTACTATCAAAACGTAGGTGTATCCTATTTCATCCATGATCTAAAAAATTTTACACGCGTATTAGGGTCATACCTGCAATTTAACATACTCATAATCGAATTAAAACAAAATAGTGGGTGATTTTTTTTAAATTAATAAATTACTGAAGCTTCCCCCTTGGCGACGTCCCTGATGTAATCAAAATTTTGTTTACAATTGAAAACATTTGTTTACCTCAGAAAAAAATGTGATAGCTATAGCAATTCCAGTTTGAGTACCAAAAATTAAATAAACTAAAATAGCCTCACTTGTAACATCCTGTATATCCAATTCTATTCTAAAATGTAGATTGTTTTTAATTGTATCTTAATAATGTTAACTTATTGACTAACCTTTTAATTTGTCTGTGAATTTTGTAGATATACTTTAAATGTTCATTTGAGGTTTTTTGATAATTTTGATCGGTAAGTAAATTAAGGCAATTTTCTTCATATTTTTTGTTAATCTCCTGGCAATAATATTTCAACTCTTCCATTTGTTTAATTATAAACATAAGTACAATGTAAAAAGCTAAAGCGTCAGTAAAACATATGATAACAGATAGTATTACACTTATTTTATAAGCTAGAGAAAAAAGTAAATATACAAACTTTAATTTTATATATTTTTTCAAAACAGAAAGAGGATAATACATATGTTCCAAATTAAAATTGTATATTGTGTACGATATTGCAATAAAAATTAGGCACGTATATATGAAGAAGAAAAAATTTAATCTAATGATTTTTTTCATTTTAACGGTATTTTTGCAATCTTTCTTAACACCTGATAAAATATTGTTTTCAATTAACTTTTTAACGAACTTAAAAGTTCTTAAAAAAACAGTAGAACTGGCCAAACTCTAAAATTGTTTTAATATTTTATATTAAGTTTTACTGATTTTTTTAAATGCTTACCTGTAAATTAAAACAAAAAATTAAGGCACTATTTAGAAAAAAACGAAACTCATTGTGTAATGCAATGTTGTATATATGAAAAACAGCCAAAGGTGCTTGAAGAATTATGATAAATCTACACACATATCTAAGAAAGTTTGATCTTCGCAAAAATGACGAAATACTCCAAAAATTTCGTTCGAACTTTAACAATATCTTTTCCATGGACAAATGTTTTTTCTAGAAAAGTATATTGGTGACCAACTTTTAAGTTTGTAATTTAGTTTATTTTTTCTATAGGGATAAACGTTAAAACGCTAAAGTTCAAAGTATTGCAAGAGACCTTTTAATAAATAACGTATTTGTACTTTCATTACAAATTATAAAGGGATTATAAACTAATTAATTAATAATTAATTAATAAATTGTTTTAATTACAAATGATTTTAAAGTGATTTGAGAAAAAAAAATATAATGAAGTTAATTGGTTTTTATTATACAGTATTTGACATTTAATTTAGAGTTTTTACAAAATATTTAAAAAATTGTAATATTTTTGACCCTGTAAAATTAAAACTGGGTCAGAACTTCTCAAACGGGCTACCCGAGTTTAGTCAAAATTAATTTTCTATTGTAGATACATTTTTTCGATAGTTTTTACATCATTAACACAAATCCAAAAGGATTTTGTAAAAAAAATTGTCAATTCATATATTGATGATATTAAAAGTCAAAGTTTTTAGTCATTAAAAAATAAAAAAAATTAGTATGACTGAACTAATTATCCGATTCCAACGATATAACTAGCGTTGGAATCTTGTTTTGACATAAATTCTTTGTTATTTTTTTCAATTGTACTATTTGCATTTAGGTCGATTTTTTTTTGTTTTTTTTTATAACAAATTCGAAAATAATTAGCTTTTTCGCCAGCTATCGAATCGAACAAAAAACACATATACTCCAATCATTTCTCGAAATTATGCTGCTGAGAAAAAAAATGGCCCGCAGTTTGACAAAAAGTTATTCGTCCTTTTTTGGGTGCACCGCGGTGGCCGCTCACGCTCCGAACCGTGTACGCGGCTTGCGACGCGACGCGTCGCAACGTGTGTGGTCTGGAATGGTACTTTTCTAATCAAAATTGATTTGTGACCTTAATAATATTTAATCAATTATTGACCTAAAGCTTGTTTTTTGTTTTAAATTCAGAAATAAATAGGCTTTATATTGGTACAAAGAAAAATAATTCCTATTCTTATTCTTATAATATTTTGTTTTGCAAAAAAATTAATTTTTCTTATTACACATTAAAAAAAATTATTCTGCCCTCATAAATAAACCTAAAGCCTTGAGTTTTTGGTTTGTTTTATTAATAAATTAATAGGCCTTGCTGTGAGGAAGCCAAACACATTTTATGTCCATATTATTTTTATAGGAGTAGCGCCAAACTAAAAAAATAGTACACTATGAGTATGAGTATGAGGGGACTTTAAGCCGTCGGTCCGTTCCTACCCCTAACCCGCACAAGCCATTTAGTTGGCTTATGGGACATCTTAGTTTGGATGTAAGGGTGGAACTAAAAGAGCACTTTATAACTTTATAAGAGACGTATAACCAGCCCCATTGCCTCATCACTCCCGAACCCCTGTGTTTAAGGTGTTTTTTTAACCTTATTTTACAACTTTTTAACAGGAAACGGTAAGTGGAAAATACAATATTAAAATTATAATATTAGATTTCAGTTTTTTGTCGCAATATATTTTTAAACTTTAATTGGAAAATTAACACGCTGCGGAAGTTATTTTTAAAGTATATTTCTGGGTGCGTTACGGGTCAGAACTGCCCCGTATTAGTTTTGCACAGAGTGCGTTACGGGGTATATGTGTCCCGTATGTACTGTGTTGCATTTTTATTCGTAACTTTATACATGCTTAAAGTAGTG